GATCTCTTTTGTTAGCAGAAGATACCATGAAGGTATCAGTCTCCTGCTCCTCTTCCATCTCTGAAGATTCTGCTTCTTCTTCGTGTTCTCCTTTAATGAGGAAAAGTGTTGGATCCTCATGGTTCTCATCCATCTGTGGAGGTTCTGGTTCCTCTTGTTTAGGTTCTGGTTCCTCTTGTGGAGGTTCTGGTTCCTGGTGGGTCATCTCCTCATCAGTAGGAGTCACCATAAATGTCTCAGCCTCCTGCTTGAGTGAAAGCTGCTCTTCATCCTGACCACTACAGATGTCCTCCTCTTTTATGTGTGGAGGTTCTGGTTCCTCTTGTTTACATTCTGGCTCCTCTTGTTGAGATTCTGGTTCCTCTTGTGGAGGTTCTGGTTCCTCTTGTGGAGGTTCTGGTTCCTCTTGTTGAGGTTCTGGCTCCTCTTGTTGAAGTTCTGGTTCCTCTTTTTTAGGTTCTGGTTCCTCTTGTTTAGGTTCTGGTTCCTCTTGTTCAGGCTCTGGTTCCTCTTGTTTAGGTTCTGGCTCCTCTTGTGGAGTTTCTGGTTCCTCTTGTGGAGGTTCTGGTTCCTCTCGTGGAGGTTCTGGTTCCTGGTGGGTCATCTCCTCATCAGTAGGAGTCACCATAAATGTCTCAGCCTCCTGCTTGAGTGAAAGCTGCTCTTCATCCTGACCACTACAGATGTCCTCTTCTTTTATGTGTGGAGGTTCTGGTTCCTCCTGGTCCAAACTGGAGTTCCTCTCTGGATTACAGAGCTGCTGGTCAGTGAGAACCTCCTTCTCCTTCCAGACATAATGCTGTGGGAGTTCTGGACAAACAGAAACAAGAACTTGCTGATGAATGTTGTTGTTGTTTAACTTTATTCATTTCATAAATAAAAGAAATTTATACAATAAAAAATACAAAAACAATGAAATGAAAGGAAACAGAGAGAAGAATAAGAATATTATATATCTGCCCCTTTTTCCTCAATTCAAACAAGTAATCTTTAGTTAACAAAACAAAAACATCAAATCTTTCTAGGACAACAAATTATATGTTAACACATTATATTGTTTCATATTTTTCAGCAATCCAACCTTCATCATTCTCTTGAACATGTACTTTGATTTGGCACTTTTAACATCATTTTCCACATTATTCCACAGTCTGACTCCTTGGATTGAGCTGCACCGTTCTTTCAAACAGGTTCTAAATTTAGATTTCATGAATATCTCTGTCCTCTTAAGATTATGACAGCTCTCTGTCTTTTCAAAGTTTTTCTTGATGTTTATAATCTGAGAGCCTTATACATAATTAACAAAATATTGTAATCAACCAAATCATAAAATTTCAATAATTTCAGTTTACAGAATAATATTTTAGATGAATAATAGTGATGTTTTTGACTGATTACTCTTATAGTTCTTTTCTGCAAAATAAAAACAGGATGTGTAATAGTCTTACATGCATTACCCCGTACCGCAACACAATAGACCAAGTGTGGAACAATTAATGTGTTATATTACATAACATATACAGAGCTTTATCATTAAACAAGTCCCTTACATTGTAAAGCAATGCAATGGGTTTAGCTAATTTTATTCTTAAATAATTTATATGAGGTTTCCATGTTAGTTTCTCATCAATAATAACGCCCAAAAACCTCACCTCACTGACTCTACTAATCTCTACACCATCAAATCTAAATGGAATGTTAACAGTTCTTTGTCTCTTTGTAAATATCATATAATTAGTTTTTGTTTTGTTGAGTTTAAACCAGTTTTGTATTTTCACAAATTCTGTTTGCATTTTCTCTACCATCCGTTCTGTCTTTACCCAAACAAAAAAAGTGGTATCATCTGCAAATAAAACACATTTAAAGAGCCCTGACACATTAACCAAGTCATTCACATACAAGATAAATTCAAATTCAAATTCAAAAATACTTTATTGATCCCAGAGGGAAACTAGGTGTTGTTGTAACTCATTTAACTAAAGAATTATTGTAGATGCTGAAGGCTGTGGGCAGGAAAGATCTTCTACAGTGGACAAACAACTTTGGTCCAAGTATAGAACCCTGAGGAACACCACACGTAATTCCACAAAGTTCAGATCTGACATCATGTACTTGTACAAACTGTTTCCTATTTTCCAAATAACTAGATATCCATTGTAATGCTGGTCCTCTAATCCCATATTTATTTAGTTTTTCAAGGAGAATGCTGTGGTCAATCATGTCAAATGATTTCTTCAAATCATTATAAATACTGACACAATATTGTTTTTGATCAATAGCATTTGTAATTTGTTCTGTCAGGTCCATAAGAGCCATTGAAGTAGAGTTATTGGCTCTAAAACCATATTGACTGCTACTTAAAATATTATTTTTATTGATGAATTGATCTAATCTGATCACAAATAACTTCTCCAAGACTTTAGAAAACTGTGGTAATAAGGATATTGGTCTGTAATGTCTGTAATTACTAAACATACATTTCTCTCCATTTTTATAAATAGGAATTACCTTGGCTATTTTCATGTTGTTTGGAAATGCTCCTGTTGAAAATGATAAATTACGTAAAGGGCTTAATAACATAACACATTATTTTCTTAACAAACATCATGTCCATGTAGGGTTGGGCAATACTGGCAAAAAAATTAATCACGATTAATTGCGGTATTTAGCCAATAACGATTAACTTGACGATTAATCCCCTGGAGTCCCTGGACACCCTTATGTCCTGGTCACATGACCAATTTAGTGGGGAAAAATTTTGCTCTTCACATATATCTGTTCTAAATTGTGTCAAAATTACATACTTCATGCTTAAAATTTTAAATTGTGTTGATAAATAAATTACAGAGCTGTTTTTGTGATCATCATTTGAAGCAGAAACTGACTGGAGATTTCTCCAGTCAGTCTGCCTGCTGGCATTAATCGCATTAATTGTCAAGTGCCAAAAAATGATCGATTAATGTTTTTCTGACTATTAATTGCACACGATACGATTATGCCCAACCATATGTCCATGTCCACCCAGTCTTTTGACCTTTTATCCCCAAACTTATTTACCACACTCATTATTTCTTCCCCATTTGTTTCACCAAGAAAGACGCTGTTTGCACAACTTCTGATTGTTTGAGTCATGTCATCATCAACTTTTGATATTTGAGCAGTGAGACTTGGACCAATATTAACATAATAATGATTAAATTCTTTAGCTATTTCATTTTGATCATAAAGTTCCTTATTATCTTTTACAAAGTATTGTGAAATACTTGATTGTACTTTATGCTTTTTTTAAACACTAGTCATCATTCCCATGTTGCTTTAGTATAACCGTTAATTTTGCTTAATATATCACTGTAACATTCCTTCTTATGTTTTCTTAAAATCAAAAAGAAAAAAATTGTGTAGGTCTTCTGGACGGGTTCTTCTCTAATGAAACGTTTCGTCTCTCCTCCAAGAGACTTCTTCAGTCTGAGTTTCAGGCAGAATTCAGGCTTTTAAGCACTAAGTAAAAAATGGCAGGTTGGCGTTCCTGGATTGCGATGTCTTGGTTTCAGATGGAGGACGGTTGGAAATG